GGATTTTGGTTTGTGGTCCGGTGCGAGTGGTTTTTTTGTAGTTTTTTTTGTGGATGTTTTTGTGTTTTTTTTTTTTGGGGGGGGGTGTTTTGGTTTTTATCGTTTTATTAATGTGGTATATTAGAATTGTACTGCACAGTGGGAACTTCTGATAAAAAATGTAATAAAGAAATTGCAGAATGCAATGTTTATTTATTACCCTTTTGTTTATTTGTTTTGGTAGTGGAAATCAAATGCGTGTCCCTTCACTGCAGCCATGGAGGGAAACCTCTAATACTGTGGTTTAGAGACTTGATTTTTTTCCTGAAATGCTTCAGCAGCCAATGACAGAAGCAAGGTGTCTTGTTACATTGTTAGGAAAAAAAAGTGTTGCAGCCAAAGAGATGCCATGAGAAAGGATAAAAATGAATTCTGGAATGGTATTTCTCTGAAGCATCAAAAGACTGGCTCCACCAGGTCACAGTGTTTCTTTGTATGTAGTACTGCCTGGAGCATTCTGGGCACCAACAGTATGCAAAGGATACTCTTTGATTCTTGCCAGCTAAACAAAAAGGTAAAATTATTAGGGCAAATTCACTTCCAGAATACAGTTTTTTTTTCTTGTATTTGGAAGCTTGTCTGTGAAAGACCCCTTAGAAGTGTACTGTAGTTGTGTCTGATATGTAAGGCTTTTTCTGTAATTCGTGAGCATGAAGCTGTCAAAAGCCAATTGAACATTGCTTTTGTCCTCTTGTATTCAAACAAGTATGACTGCAGTCAGTGCAAAATGTGAGCTGAGATTGTTCTTGTGTAGCATTATCCTGTCTTTTACAGTATCTAGACAAAAACAGTAGATACTGTGGGAATAGATGAATTCCTGATGAGTGTCTTTTATTTGGTGAAGTCTGTCAAAATAACCTCATGTGGGAAGTTGCCCCATGTGTTGATCATGTATGGGGTTTTTCTATTCACCTACTTACCAGAGTAGGGTAGCCTTTTAGGAACTAATCTTGTATTTTCTGTTGTAAGAAATTGGTCTTTACTCATTTCCTCCTATTATACAAGGTAATTCATAGGCTGAAGAAGCAAGGTGCAAAAACAGCTGCACAGGCAAAGGCAGATGATAATCTACTTAATTGTTTGTATCTCAGAAATTCTTCTTTATGACCCTTTATGACCTATTACTCAGTCATGGCTCCCGAGTAATACTCCTGGTTTTCTCTTCTTTATAAGCATGTGAAATGAGCAGATATGAGAGTAAAAGTTCGATTCATTTAGAAGGAGAGATAAGAGCATACAAAGTGGTACCCAAGAAAAACACTTAGAAAGGTAACAGGATTTTTTCCATGCAGGTATTACTTATCTAAATAATGTTTCATTACTTCTGTGGTAGATGACTTTGTAGACTACTCAGGTGAGTTTGCTGCTTAGTGATTGATGCAGTGTATTTGCTTTTGGTTTAAAGTCTTAAGTGGGTCAGTTGTGGGGATAAGTAGTTAGTGTGCAAGTCTGATTCAGGGTAATCTGTCTGATTATCCTACAAAGTATGCGAAGTAAATAGATTATTTGAGTATAAAATTTCACCTCAGCAATATGAAACAAACATTTGAAATAGCTAGTTGCGCTTACATGCCTTCATTCTCCAAATTACTGGAAAATTCCCATTCCTAACAGGTCCCAAAGATCTTTGATTTTACTTTGCAAATAGACATTTGCTTGCCAGTTTTAACACAATGTATGATGAAGTAAGTATTGACACAGCGTAGCTTGTGTACTCAAAAACCAGATGACTTTAAAGAGCAGGAGCTGCGCCTTGAAATTTTATGAAAGCTTATATTGTAAGTTATAACTCAGTGCCAATAGGCTACTTCAAATCTGTAGAATTTCTAAGGGTGTTCTTCAAATATAGACTTTGTCTTCATAAATATTAAACAAGTCGTAACAAACTGGATGGAAGACTGAAAAGGAGCTGCTTAAATTTTGTGAGGATCTGGATAGTGAGAGAGAGGCAAACAGAGTAGCTGATGCTTTCCATGGTAGTGTGGTTTCATACCTTTTTAAAGAGGCAACTAAATGATCTCTGCTAGAAACAGTTTCTTCCTGAAATTGTAATAGTATGTCTGAAGAGCAAATATTTCCTGAAACTTCTTTGCTTCAATGAAAATTGAGCCTCATGTCTGGCAGGTTCAAAATATGAGAGAGGGGAGTTCTTCATTAAGAGGAGGTTTCTTAATGTCATTATCCCTTCCTTAATGTCTTCTGATAACAAACTTGAGAAGGTTAAGCACTGGGTTGTGTCTCTTGAAAAAAAAATTAATACAAATTTCTGAATGTGAAATTCAAGTTTAGATTTTCTTTGGAGGAAATGGTAAAATTGTTATGAGTCTATAAGCTTAGGTAAACTTTGATGAAGATTGATTCAAAGTGCCACTGCTGTAGAATGAGTCTCTGTTAGTTATCTTGTAAAAAATAAACAAGTACAGTATGGTTTTGAGATTAAATTACCAGTTAGCACTGTTTTAAATACAGTCTAGTTCTAGAATTTATTTTTTTTTTTTTTTTTTGGTCTGGCTGGTTGGAATTAATAACATCTGAGGCAAAAACCCAAAATATAAGAGCATGAGGTTTCTGTATTTTCTTCCACTTATCGATTATTTTTTTTTTCATTCTCTTTAATTCACATTCACTTTCTTTTCCATGTTTTTAAAGACCATTGTTAGAAAGTATATAATTCTGTATATTCTTTGAATTCTACTGTGGCTGAGTATGAGGTACAACAAAGATAATTTTTTCTTTTCTTGAGAAAGCGAAATTTTTAGTGTGGGGAGAAAAATTCCTTCATACCTCCCTACACTATTTACTACACATCTTCCATTCTTGGTTGTTAGTTTTCAATATTTGCTGCACAGGTTAGCTGGATTTCAATACCTTGCCTATGCTGAACTGGTTGCAGGGTTTGTTCTTGCTTGGACATACTTTCTGCTATAGAGTGTGGTATGGTTTTGTTTGTGGTTTAGGTTTTTGGGAGAGTTTGTTCATTTTGTGTGGTTTTTTCTGTGGTTTTGTGATTTTGTTTGGGGGGGTTTTGTCTGTGTTTTTTGTTCATTTTTGAGGTGTTTTTTTTATATTTGTAACAGTGTGGAGGTAGAAGTAGTGGCCAGAGGGATAAAACAAATTTACTACATGTGGAGGAACAGTGTATAGAAAAGATTTGGAGATGGTACTACAAGAAATAGAACAATAAAAATATATGCAAGGAAGGTGGGAATAAAATAATGTTAAATTAGAATCATAGAATCATAGAATAGTTAGGGTTGGAAAGGACCTTAAGATCATCTAGTTCCAATCCCCCTGCCATGGGCAGGGACACCTTACGCTAAATCATATCACCCAAGGCCTCGTCCAACCTGGTCTTGAACACTGCCAGGGATGGAGCATTCACAGCCTCCCTGGGCAACCTATTCCAGTGCCTCACCACCCTAACAGGAAAGAATTTCCTTCTTATATCCAACCTAAACTTCCCTTGTTTAAGTTTGAACCCGTTACCCCTTGTCCTATCTCTACAGTCTCTAATGAAGAGTCCCTCTCCAGCATCCCTATGGGCCCCCTTCAGATATTGGAAGGCTGCTATGAGGTCTCCAAGCAGCCTTGTCTTTTCCAGGCTGAACAGCCCCAACTTCCTCAGCCTGTCTTCATATGGGAAGTGCTCCAGTCCCGTGATCATCCTCATGGCCCTTCTCTGGACCCTTCTCTCACAAGAGCAGAGTAGAGGGGCAGGATCACCTCCTTGGACCTGCTGGTCACGCTCCTTTTGATGCAGCCCAGGATATGGTTGGCTTTCTGGGCTGCGAGCACACACTGAAGCCAGCTCATGTTCATTTTCTCATCAACCAACACCCCCAAGTCCTTCTCCGCAGGGCTGCTCTGAATCTCTTCCCTGCCCAACCTGTAGCTGTGCCTGGGATTGCTCCAACCCAGGGATTAATGCTTTTTATATGATTTAACTCTGATAGTACTGAAAAGGCTAGTTTATCAGCTATTAAGCTAGTTGTCAAATGTTAAAACATAGCGCAGCAGAAGGGTTAGAGCAGAGAGAAGAATGTGTATATTTTGAGAAGATGGTACTCAAACTGCTACTCATGCTCCAAAAATTGCATCTTCCTTCTGAGGTTATAATTTTGTGAAGTTTCCTTGCCCTGCTTAACCCTGCACAGCTGCTTTGTATGCAGGGCTGTTATGCATAATGCCTGTGTTTCTTCTTGTGGGTGAGTTGCTTTGAGTTTAGTGGTGATAGGTACATTTTTTGCTCTGATTGTTACATGGAGGTTTAAAATCAGTGCTTGTTGAATTTGACTTCAGATACATTGTTTTACATGTTTTCCTTAGCACATTTTCTTGCTTTCTCTTGCTTTCTCATGTTTGACATACATGTGAACCAGCTGTAACCATCTGCCATTTGAAAACCCTTGTGCATGTTGTCAGCTGTATTTTGGAATAATCTAAAGGTATATCCTCATCTAGGTATTTTTTTTGTTTCTGAACATATTTCATTTGGCTTATATATTACAGACAACCGTTGCATTTTTGGTTGCCTCAATAGTTATTATCTTCATGAATTCTGAAGAATTTTGAAGTATTTTATTACTTTTTGGCTTGATTTTTGGTATACTAAAAGTGCAAGTGAAACAGTATTCTAATATATTCTTAATAATTACAGATACAACTTCTGTAAATGACTGGTTTTTGTCTAAGCTTGACTGAATGATTTCCATTTAGTTGCGCATTTACAGGCTCCTTTGTTTACAAGCAGCAAGATAGTCAGTTCCTCACTTGTGTTACTGTGTTGTATAGTCTTGCAGTTCTGAGTATGATTAAAGAAGTAATGAAATTAAAATAATGTCATAAAACTACGTATATCAGATGGTTACATTTCACAGGTCTGAAATGTACAGGACTAAAATCTAGTACATGCATGTTCTTTTGCAATTACTTTTTGTCTATTATTATTTTTTTTAAAATAGAGACTCACAGGACAGCAGCAGGAAATAAACAACTTAATACAGAGAAAAAATGCTGTGGATGGGGAAAATGCCCGTTTGAAGAATGAATTCAGTAACTTGAACCAGAAATTTAAAGATAAAAGCCAAGAACTTAAGGTATATTGACTTGTACGTAGTTTCATAAGACTGTAGCTTTGAAGTAGTTCTTTAAGCAATGTCAGCCTTTGCGGCACAGAAAGTGACAAGCTTGGAGAAAAAATTGCCTTAGGCCTTGCTATACCTTACCATTTTCTCACACACCATCTCCGAGGAAGATGCTTTAAAGCCAAGAATCCAAGCTTTATAACTTTCAGATAAATAGTTAATGATGGAAATGAAGCTAAGAAAGTAGGAGTGTGAAGATGTGGCTTCTTGTAATTAGATTCTGATGGGACTGGCATTATTAATTGATAAAGCCGAGGTCTGGGAGGATATGTCTGTGTGGGTCTCAAAAATAGCTGGGGACAGCATCAAAGGCAGCTTGATCAATTAATGGGCTCTTTGCAAATGTGTGCTCATCAAAGCTGTCATCCAGCTAAAAAATATGGCCCTTCCACCTGCATGAAAGAGGCCAATAAAAGTACACAGGTGACCTTGGCCATCAAATATAGAAGAAGCTGCTGTGAGGGTAAAACTGCACAGTTTATATTTGCTGATTAGTTCTCACTTTTTTGTTTATCGGCCCTTGTGGTACTGTTCTACAGGACACTGAGGAGTGTGCACAGAAGAAGGAAGAGCAAAACAGACTGGTTATAAAAAATCTGGAGACGGAAAATCAGGGATTAAATACATGCTGTGCTGACCTGCTAAATGACCTGGAGAAACTGAGGAAACAGGAGACACAATGGAAAACAGAAAAATCTGGCAATGATGCCAGAATAAAGGTATGAAGTGGAATGAATGGATTCATGGATGTTATTTTAGAATTAACTTCTCCAGACATTTGCACTACGAGTTATTTTCTTTAAATAACAAGTTATATATTCAAATCTACCAGTGGGGACTTGCATTCATTTACATTCCTTCGCTTAAGACCCACAGCTTTTTAAAAATTGATGTTGCAAAGCTGGAATCTGACTTCAAATAGTCATCTTAAAATGTAATCATTAAAAAATGGAAGATACTGTATTTTAAGACTAAACATATATACGCAAAATAATAAAAGTTTAGAAGTATTATCAGTCACATTTTTATACTCAGTGTGTAATTTACTTACCTATAATTTGGTTGCAGCAGAATTGATATCTGTTGGTTTGGAAGAACACTTTAAAACTTCAACTGCAATTTTGAATAAATTGTGTCCTAGCCTCCAGAGGGCTCCACTCTCTGAGAGACATTACTGTTGCATATAATATATTAAAAAGTTATTTTCACTGTTTATGATAAAATGAAAAATGAAGTAGTTGAATACAGGGTACAGAATATTGCATGTTTTTTTTTAATTATTTTTTGTTGTGTTTGCTGGTGAAAATTGGTAAGTTCTTTAATTCCTGTAAGAAATAAGTCACAAACATGTTTAAACAAGTGCTTGATGGCTGCTTATGTGCAAGTCTAGTTTGCAGGTTCTCTTTATTTTCATGGCTAATGAATGCTTCTTGGTTACTCTATTTACATGGCTAATGAACAATTCTGTGCTTTTCTACAATATTGAAGTATGTGAATTTCTGGTATATTCAGTGTAGTAACCTTTTAATCAACATCTTGCCCAGAAACATATTTTTTGCTCCACTAGCAATTCAGTGGTTTTGTTGGCTGTTCTAATTGTTGTGCTGATGGAAGACCTTTGTAAGAGCTTCGTTCAAATTTGTTAAAATGGGGAGTAAAGTTCTTGCAAATTGAGGCCTTCGGAGTGATTATGATGAAAGGATTATAGGATTCCCAGGACAACAACTGGTTTGTTGTTACTTGGGATAGAAAATCTAGTGTGTACTAGACTAATTTTTGTGTGTACAAGTTTCACATGTAATAGTGAATAAATTACTGAAAATCACTGTTACCCACATCTTCAATGAAAACAGAATAATATTTAGTGTATCCATCTTGCTGTTTGGTGAGTCATGGTGAAGAGAGAAAGGTGCGTCACAGCCATGTAATTCCAGAGATGGAAATAAAAAAACATTGGTGTTTCAGAGTGAGGTCACAAGCAGGTCATGTTGGAGTCTAAAGCATGACAGAGGTAACTTCTTGAGATGGGTATTCCCTGAGATAACTAGGAATGACACACAGTTGGATCTGCTATTCACCAATGATGATTTAGGAGATCATAATTAATGGCTGCCTTGGCTATAGTGACCATAAAATTGTGAAGGCCAAGATGAAGATGAAGGAAGCAGAGTAGCACAATACAGACCTAGAATTAAGGAGATTGCTCAGGGAACTGGTAGCTGGAATCCCATGAGAAGCAGCACTGAATGGTAAAAACACTCAGGAAAATTATAACGTCTTTGAGGACGGCTTCTTAAAAACCCAAGTGTGGTCTACCCTGAGAAGTGGGTGTATCAGGAAGCCATCTTACCAAACAGAACTAATCACCAAATTCTAGTGTAGGGCAGGGGTGGAAAGAAGTATTCAGGAAGTAGAAACAGTGAAAGCTACAAAGGAGGAGTTCAAAAGCATTGTTTGGGCACTCAGCAATGGAATTAACCTACCTACAATTGAGACTTGCAGGTGATGTCAGGTGTATCAAGAGTTTCTTGCACTATACTAGTAAAAGGCAGAACAAGGAAAACTTTCTTTTCTTCCTCCTCCTCTCCCCTTGCCTCCCTTTTCTTTCTTTTCCCTTACCCCTTCCCATTTCTCCTTGCCTTTTTTCTTCTTCCTCTTCCTTCTCCCTTTCCTTATGCTTTTCCTTATTTTTCCACCATTTGTTCTGTAATGTGAGACAAGTGACTATCTTTGCTGGTAGACAGAATTAGGTGAAGATGATTATTTTGCAAGGCTATTGCAAGGATTGAGAAGCAATTAAAAATACTATTTGCAAGTCAGAAATGTTATATCTGACTGATAGGAAGTAATAATTTGTTGTCTCATTATTTTTATCCATATTTTGTAGAATAATAATTTGTAAAAAACACACACATTTTTTTTTTAGTTCATCCCTGTTTTTACATACACTTCTGTAAATATTTGCTTGAAAATTTAAGTAGTAGTTTGAATAAATTTCTCCCTCTGCTCCTGGCATTACCCATTACTATTGTTGAACACTCAAGAATCAATATTGGATGCCAGATTGGCTTTAATAGGATGCTTATAAATAATAAAGAATAATAATTTCCTTATGTACAGAGGCCAAATATGACATCAATACACTGCGCAACATGGGGCTGCAGATTATGGTGTTCTAATGTATACCCCCCAATATATCATGTCCCTGAAACGCTTTTAAAAAGCAACTTATGAGCGAATTCAGTAATCAAGTTGTATTGTTCTCAAGTGATTGTAAATGTGGTTACAGATAAAAATAATTTGAATTCTATCCCCCTGCAAAAGTTAGTTCTGCCTCTCAGCCTTGAGGTTGGGAGTTGAACTGTCATCTCTTTTTGTACATGTTTTTCAGTAATAAATACTATCTTTAACAATATTGTGGGTGGTATTGTATACAGATACTATTCATATTAGTCTCCTATATCTGTGGAAGAATAAAATGAAACCTTATCAATGTGAGCTACAGCAGCATTGTTTTTAAAATGTGTATTAGATGGTAGAAATGCTAGGTCTAAATAACAGATTCTTCGTTTGGAAAAGTAGCCTCTGTTTAAAGACTGAACCAGATGTTACTAGCCCTTTCCCCCACTCCCACCCCAGTCTTTAAACCATTTTCTCTGCAGAAAAAGACTGTTTATTTCCAGACCTACTGCAAGCTGAATTGGGGTATAAAATCTAACTTTTTCAGTTTGAGACAGAAAGCTGCTATGGCTAGTTTGTCTATCTAAGGAATATTCCTTTAAAGACTTGTCATATTAGCCAAAATCTGAGTGAGACAGGTAAATAGGAAGAGACCTGGTAAGATGGCTAAGAGGGTGGCAATAGTGTTTTATTATTTATCTTACAAATACATTTGTCCCATATGTACCTTCATATAAAAAAAGTAAGTGCAAAAAAATTAATATTGCTTTCTGCATTAAAGTAGCTCTTGAGAGTTACTCTTCTGTGCTTTCTATGGCTTATATCAGCTTTTTGTACCTCCTGAAAGTGCACAGGTGAAAAGCTGTCAATCAGCCACCTTTTACATGGATGTATTTCCATATTTATGAATGAATTGGTTGTTTGAGTTATTTTGTTCTTCTTTGGGTGAAGGATACTTAAGTTACTGTTTAGTAGCAGTAGCTAGTAAAGGGCTTTCTAAAGTTCCTGAAGTCTGAATGTGGGAGCTTTTAATGAAGCATGGAGAGGTGGTGTCTGTAAAATTGAACATTGAGAAACACCCATCTCTGTCAAGAGGGGCCTGGAATTTTAGTACCATTGAAAAACGAGAGCAGTATTGGGATGGGACCTTGAAAAAAATACTCTCAGATCTGTCATAATACACAAGAAAAAGGCCTGAAAACAAATTTACTGTATTTGCAAGTGACTTTCTAAGGATCTGAGGTTACAAATAACAAAATCTTAGTGTTAATTTAGAGTGAGTCCATAATCTTTACAACCGTGCTGCTTCATGTGTTGTCTGTGTTATGCTTTTAATGTTTTAACTTCTTTTAAATTCACCCTTTCTCTGATTTTTCTAAGTTTATAGTTCTTGGGCTTGAAGTGATCAAAATATTCCTGTAATGTTTAACCTGAAATTATTTTTCATTCTAGTTAGGATCACTATTTTTCATGGCTAGAAATAATGACTAGACTTATTCTTTGCGCTTCACTTTCAGTACTGTTGTAAAGAAGTATCATATCTTTTACTGTGCCTTGTATTTTTCTCTGAAATGCACATTTTCTTTCTCACATTATATTACTGAATTATAAGATGTTTTGACTTACTGTGTTTTACACTTCCTTTGCTTTAATATGCTTTAAAAAAAAGTTCCCTGTAGGTACAATTAAAATAAGCTTTACTTTGTAAATCAGGTTTAGGAGGATTTGTATTTAGTGAATATTCAGTCTGCATGTTTATGCAATGAAACTACCTTCTCAACTACTGTATCAACTAAAAAGCAATCTAATAAATTCCATGTGCCTTTAAAAATTGAGATACTGAGAAATTGATTGTAAAAGGTTATAGGTTATTTCATACTCTTAGATTTCTAGTACAAAAGATCTACGAAATGCCTCACTATATGGTGTTTCAGTGTATAAGCTATTTGTATAACAAGTCCCTCCTTGCCCCTGTTTCATGTTTTGCCCTTTCATTAATGCTTCCAAAAAAATCAAGGTTTCATAATTGGTTCATAAGAGGTTGAACTGATAAGTTTGTTAGTTGAAGTCAAAATCTGAAGTCGTGTATGTCATAAATGGGGTGAAGCACTGACAAATACTCTTTTTCTGTTTTTAAATTCTGCCATTGTGTCTGATATTGTATTTATGGCAGAATAATTTGTAAACTATTCTTTGTATTTTACCCTGCAATGGGTCATGGGAACTTGAAGCATTGGAAGGATCAGTTTGGTTTTTTTTGATCTCTACCATGAAAAAACTCTTCAACCCTATAATGTGGTGTGAAAGATAGGCAAAAAGGATTTATTCACACAAAATCTGAACTATTATCACTTTTGTTCACACAATACAATAGCTTTCAGCTGTTGTGGAAAAAGGAAAAAACACTGAGGAGAAACCCTAAGATTATTTGGCTGCAAGTTACAGATAATTTTATTCCACTTGTTCATTTTTATGCATTGATATAATGAAGTATTCCTATCATTCTGAAATCTTCTGTTATCTCAGAAAAGAATAATTTTTGTTACTTAGCCTTTGAGGCATCTTTGCTGAGAGGGAAAAATGTGCATTTCTTTATTTCTTTAAGTCTGTGTGTAAATGGAAGATAAAATAATATACTATTGGCAGTAGATTAAGGATTTTATCCTCCTATGAGGTATTTATTTTAAATTATTGATCAATCCTGGAATATTTCATAGAGCCATAGAAAGGTTTGGGTTGGAAAAGGCCTTAGAATCATCTAGTTCCATCCCTTGCCATGGGCCAGGACACCTCACCCATGGCATCCAGGGTTCTGTCCAGCCTGGTCTTGAACACTGCCAGGGGTGGAGCATTTACCACTTCTTTGGGCAACCTGTTCCAGTGCCTCACCACCCTAACAGTTAAGAACTTCTTCTTTATATCTAACCTGAACTTCCCTCTTTCAGTTTGAACCTATTGCCCCTTGTCCTATTTCTAAAGTCCCTGATGATGAGTCCCTCTCCAGCATCATTTGCCTTACTGAGGGCATGTGATTTTGAGTAGTATAATGTCAAAACTGTTGCATATCTGAAACTGTGCCTTAGATTTTGCTGTATTATTTCTATTTCCATTCTTGCCTCAAAAGACTCTGGGAGAATAGTCATATGAAGCTTCTTAAGGACTGAAGTGCTCTTCTAAGCTGCTAAGCCCCCAGAGAACTCTAGTAAGGTCACTATGTAAAGACTGAAGTCTTGCTTGAGTAAGCTGCCTTGCTGCTGTTTTTCCTAGATGCACCTTCACGCTTGTAGTGGTTTCGGCTGGGGTAGAGTTCATCTCCTTCCTAGTTGCTGGGGCAGTGCTGTGTTTTGGGTTTAGTCTGAGAACAATGTGGGTAAGACACCAATGTTTTAGTCATTGCTCCGTAGCACTTACCCCAGTCAAGGACTTTTCAGTCTCTTATTCTGTGTCAGTGAGGAGGGGCACAAGAAGCTGGGAGGGAGTAGAGACAGGACACCTGACCCAAACTAGCCAAAGGGGTATTTCTTACCACAGCACATCATGCCCAGTATATAAACTGGGGGGATTCACCCAAAAGGGATCAGTTGCTGCTCAGGTTGGGCTGCGTATTGGTCAGCCAGTGGTGAGCAATTGTACTGTGCATCACTCACTCGAATTTGTTTTTATTTTTGTTTATCCCTTCACTATTTTCTTTGGGGTTTATCCCTCCTTCCCCCCTATTTGTTGTTGTTACTATATCTTTACTTTATTTCAGATATTAAACTTATCTTAACCCATGCATTTTACCTTTTTCCAATTATCCTCCCCATCCCACTGCAGGGTGTGTGGTACTTAGTTGCTGGCTGGAGTTAAGCCACGACAACAGTTTGGCTAGCTTGTATGGTATGGCCTACTGTAAATGGCAAACTATTACTTGTTTACATTGTTTTCAGTGAACGTTTCCAGAATTTTTCTTGTATGCTGTTTCTTTTCCTGAAGAAACTGTTCCTTCCATTGAAGTGCAAAATCATGAGATACTTAACAAGCAGTCTGAAAAATTAATTCGTATCTGTGATTCTTAGTTCATGTGCACAATATTGTGCAATTTTAGAGAACTTAAAACAGTGAATGTATAACTTCTCTGGTAGGAGTAGGTGTTTTCTGTTCGATTTCTACACAGAAAACAAGTTTTAATCAGATCAGTGGTTACATACTGTACTATTGCTTTGCGAAGATTTCATTCAGGATTCTCCTTCAACATGCAGCAGATGAATTAAGGAAAACTTCCCACAGTAAAGACTAGGTGGGCACCTAAAATTTGAGATGTATCTTTTTTCTGGTATTAAACATTTTTCCTACATCCAGACTTGCACATATATCTCTATATATTTGGTTAGACCACAATAAATATATGTGTGCATGTTCCTATGTCTGTATATGTTGATAAAAAGCATAGTAAATTTTAACTCTTTCTTATACATTTATATGTTTCAAATGCTTTCTTTGTAGACTTTGGAAACTGACTTAGCAGAGGCAAGAGAACAAATAAAAGAGTTGCACAATATATGCAGTAACTTGTCATCTCAGGTAGCTGTGAAACAGGAAGAATTGACCCAGAAGGATTGTGATGTGATAAGAGCTAGGTAAGTATTTGATGAGTTCATTACCTTTAAGCCTGCATCTTCTCAAAAAGACTATTGTTGCACTTATATTGTTGCACTTACATTGTTGCATTAGAGATGTTTTTGTGCAACAGTATATTTTCATACCATTCTGCAAGATGTAAAGCATTTGGAAATATACCACTAGATAACAGTTTATATGTAGACTGTGATATATTTTGACTCAATATATTATTCTCATTTTTTGAGTAGGGATGGGCTTAAAAATGTCAACTTCTGTAATTAGCATTGGGTCAGAGTACTACCAGTTTCCACTGAAAGTAGGAAAATACCTGTATGATTAGTGACATAAACATTTAATTGGAGGGGCTAAATGCCCTAAGCTTAGAAAAGCATTAAGCTTAACTTTACCTTTTTAATTAAGAGTCAAATCTGACAAGTCAGCAAAAGTCTATGTAAGCCTGTGCTAAAGGTTTAAAGTGCAGTGATTTAAGCTTTATCTTAGGTCTTGCACACCATTTCTTTACATTGAATCTGTAAGATTAGTGCTGCATTATTTGAGTTGTGGAAAAGAAACGAAGGATGGAATTAATGATATTAATTGACTAGACTACCGAAGTCCTCAAAATGAAGGTAATGGCAGAAGACAATTCGTAACTTTGAGTGGATTGCTAGGAAACTGTCCATTTTTCACCTCTTAGTTTTAGAGGATACATTGTGTTTATTACACCTGTGTTAGACAAATAATATTTCCTTCAGTATTGCCTCAAACTGAGATTATGCCTGAAAAGCTGCAGCTGGGATGCAGAAGTCATCGGTATGGACACTCCTCTTTGCCTTCCAAGCAGAAATAATCTTACTGTAGGGAGTTAGCAACTTAAGTCTTTTTGGTAAAAAATCTAGAAATATGATTTTGATCCCTCTGATTTAAATTGCCATGGTATTTGATAAAATCTGTACAGGAAAATTGCTATCTTGCTGTTTCCATATTTGGAAGGTGTAAGAGTGGGATTTTCAAAAGTCAATAAAAAAAGGCAACTTTAATGGAAAGTTCTGTTGAAAGAGGCAATCACTGGAATTTGTGAAATACATCAATGGACTAATAGGCTTTATTATTTTCTGAAATTACTCTTAGAAATATGTACATATGCAAGAGAACTAGGGGCAGCAAAGAAGGTATTTATAAAATTGGGTAATTGAGATTTGCAAAGTTACTGCTTGTTGTTTGTAGTTTAGAAAATTGTGAACTGAGTTGGCCAAATCATATAGCTTAAAATTTCTCAAATATATTCATTACTATTCACTACAAAACAACCTCTTAGAATTTGCTGAGGAAACTTCGAAAGAAAAAAGAGGCTTATAAAAGGTGGAAGCAAGGCCAGGTAGCCTTGAAAGAATAGAGGGATGTTGTCCGGGAAGCTAGGGACCAGGTTAGGAAAGTTAAGGCCCAGTTAGAACTAAAGTTGTCTAGGGATGTAAAAGATAACAGCAAGGGATTCTATAGGTACATTGCAAATAAAAGACAGACTAGGGACAACGTGGGCCCTCTCCGAAAGCTATGGGGAGAACTGGCTACCCTGGATTTGGAGAAGGCTGAGATTATAAATGACTTCTTTGCCTCAGTCTTCACTGGCAAATGCTCTGCCCACACCACTCAGGTCCTGGAAGGCAGACGCAGGGACTGTGAGAATGAAGACCTTGCGCCCACTGTAGGAGAGGAACTGGTTCAAGACCATCTTAAAAATCTGAACATGCACAAGTCCATGGGTCCTGATGAGATCCATCCGTGGGTCCTGAAGGAGCTGGCGAATGAAGTTGCTAAGCCGCTGGCCATCATATTTGAGAAATCATGGTAGTTAGGTGAAGTTCCCAACGACTGGAAAAAGGGAAATATAACCCCCATTTTCAAGAAGGGGAAAATGGATGACCCAGGGAATTACAGACCAGTCAGTCTCACCTCTGTGCCTGACAAAATCTTGGAGCAGATTCTTCTGGATGGCATGCTAAGGTGCATGAAAATCAACAAGGTAGTTGGTGACAGCCAGCATGGCTTCACTAAGGGGAAATCCTGCCAGACCAGTTTGTTGGCTTCTATGTTGGGGCTACAGACCTGATGGACAGGGGTAGAGCAGCTGACATCATCTACCTGGATTTGGGCAAAGCATTCGACACTGTCCCACACGACATCCTTGTCTCTAAATTGGAGCGACATCAATTATGGATGGACCACTGGGTGGATAAAGAACTGGCTGGATGGCCGCACACAAAGAGTTGTGGTCAATGGCTCAGTGTCCGGCTGGAGACCAGTAACGAGTGGTGTCCCTGAGGGATTGGTGTTGGGACCAGTCTTGTTCAACATCTTTGTTGGTGACATAGACAGTGGGGCTGAGTGCACCCTCAGCAAGTTTGCCAATGACACCAAGCTGTGTGGTTCGGTTGATAGGCTGAAGGGAAGGGATGGGATCCAGTGAGACCGTGGCACACTTGTGAGGTGGGCTGATGCCAACCTCATGAAGTTTAACCATGCCAAGTGCAAGGTCCTACACCTGGGTGGCAGCAATCCCAGGCACAGCTACAGGTTGGGCAGAGAAGAGATTCAGAGCAGCCCTGCGGAGAAGGACTTGGGGGTGCTGGTTGATGAGAAAATGAACATGAGCTGGCTTCAGTGTGCGCTTGCAGCCCAGAAGGCCTACCGTATCCTGGGCTGCATCAAAAGGAGCGTGACCAGCAGGTCGAAGGAGGTGATCCTGCCCCTCTACTCTGCTCTTGTGAGACCTCACCTGGAGTATTGTGTGCAGTTCTGGTGTCCTCAACATAAAAAGGACATGGAACTGTTGGAACAAGTCCAGACGAGGGCTGTGAGGATGATCAGGGGACTGAAGCAACTCCTGTATGAAGATAGGCTGAGAAAGTTGGGGCTGTTCAGCCTGGAGAAGAGAAGGATGCGTGGAGACCTCATAGCAGCCTTCCAGTATCTGAAAGGGGCCTATAGGGATGCTGGGGAGGGATTCTTCATTAGGAAGTGTAGTGACAGGACAAGGGGTAATGGGTTAAAACTTAAACAAGGGAAGTTTAGGTTGGATATAAGGAGGAAATTCTTTCCTGTTAGGGTGGTGAGGCACTGGAATGGGTTGCCCAGGGAGGTTGTGAATGTTCCATCCCTGGCAGTGTTGAAGGCCAGGTTGTACAGAGCCTTGGGTGAGATGGTTTAGTGTGAGGTGTCCCTGCCCATGGCAGGGAGGTTGGAACTAGGTGATCTTCAGGTCCTTTCCAACCCTAACAATTCTATTATATTCTGATCTGATCTATTCTGTTCTATTCTAAACTAATCTATTCTTGACGTGGTCATCTCATCTACATATGTAATTAAGTACTTTTTTGAACATGAGATCTGAACTTGAGGGAACAAAAAGATGGGCAATATATTTATTTGAAGTTTCAAGTCTTTTTCTGTATATTTTTCCATGCAGCCTACATTCTGTATTTATGGAAAAGAGTTTGGCAAAGGTTTCATGTTTTTCTGTGTGCTCAAATGTTTTCCTTCCCAGATATTTCATTGATATTGCAATGAATGATAGTATGTTTCCATATCACTAGTTTGTGTGTTACACTTATCATGTTATGTTCAATACCATTATTGTTCAATATCTGTTAATCTTTCTCAATGAACTCTCTTTGCTTACAAGTGTCTTGGTTACATTTCCAGTATGAAAAAAGGTTTATGCTAAACGACTTATATAAAATTCACAGTTTCAGGCAGCAGTTTCTGTAGTTAGCCCCATGGACTGAGAATTTCAAGTGTTCTGTGTTTTTTGTAGTACAGAATATTGAAGTTTCCCTGTATCTTCCCAAGGGGAAACATACATAAAACATTTTTTTCTTTCGGTTCTTAATGAAAAAAAGAACAACTGCAGAAATAAAGGAAAAATCTGTGAAGAAAATAAGGTCTCTACATTGTCTTGTCTTCTTAGGCCAAGATCTTAGAACTGTGTTGACTTCATGATTTAAACATTTGGTTGTTAGGTTTTTATTTTAGCTGATAATTTATTTTTTTTTAATTCTTGTTTATACCTCAGACTTGTAAAAGTATTGCATCGAATGGTCAGTTTTTATTTAATACTGGCAGAACATTCTTTGACAATGGTGTGGAAAATACCCTATCTCCTTTGCTATCTTCCATCGTCAATTTCAAACTTTTGGAGCTGAAAAAGAACAATCTGATTTGCAAATCGATCTGTTCGGCCCACTGCTGTGCCTCTCTCTCCCCATCTGCTGCCTGCCTGCCTTCCCCACCATTTGCTTTCTTGAAAACAGACCAGGAACATTTTTATAATCGTTAGAAACAAGCTCTGGAGAAAGGAAGGAAGGAAACTGGCTTCCTTCAGTTAGCATCTTCTTTTATATGCAGTATAGGCAGATCCAGAAAAATACTTCTCAGCTGACACCTTGCTAATTGTGTCTGAAATGTTTACAGTAGGTGCTAGAATCAATTGGAAATTAAAGTCTCTTAGGAGCCTGAGTGCAGACTGATCTGGTGCTGTTTCTTGTGCAGTCTTAACTTCTTGTTCTGTTCTGCACGTCTGACAGTTTTTTGTAAGTTTTTTTTTTCAGTTTAACAGTAACTGTGTCTGCAGACACTAAGAGAAATGTTTTCTTTATGGGGCAGTCTTTTTTAGCAAAGTATCAGGGACCAAAATTTTAAAGTACTCCAGTCTCATTCTGGTGGTAGAGAGTGGGAGATGTTTCTGAAAGTCCCACCCAGTGTCAGTTTTTAACTGGAATTTCATGCCTTTTTAATTTTTGCCTGTTGTCTCTTATTTGACTGGGTACCACCAAGAAGAGTCTGTCTACATCTTCTTTATAGACTTCCATCAGGTACTTATATAATATCTCTCCCCTCTGAGCCTTCCTTTCTCCAGACTAAACAGTCCCAGCTTTCCCAGCCTGTCTGTGTATGGCAGGTGCTTCAGTCCTTTCATCATCTTTGTGGTCCTTCATGTATCCATCTCTCGTATACTGGACCTAGAACTGGACACGCCACGCCACTTCTGAATAAAGGGGAAGGATCACCTCCTTCCCCGTGCTGGTAACGCTGTTCTCAGTGGGTCTCAGAATGTCTTTGGTCTTTGCCACAAGGACACGTTACTGGCTCCTGGTCAGTCTGATGTCCACCAGCATCCCCAGGACAATTTTCTGACAAGCTGCTTTTCAGCTGATCAGGCCCCAGCCTTTGCCGGTGAATGGGGTTATTATTCTTCAAGGCAGTAATTTATACTTCCTTTTATTGAACTCATGAGGTTTCTGTCAGCCCATTTGTCCAGAATGTTGAAGTCCTTCTGACTGGCAGCATAAACATCTGGTGAAACAATGACTGCCCCCAGTTTTGTGTCATCAGCAAACTTGCTATGGTGCACTTTGTCCTGTTGTCCAGTTCATTAATGAAGAAGTTAAAAGAGGATTGGCCCCAGTGCTAGCCTCTAGGATACTCCACTGATGCCTGGCCTTCATCTGGACTTTGTGCCACTGATCACAGCTCTTTAAGCCTGGTACATTCAAGCCAGATTCAAATCTACCTTACTATTCATTTATCTAGGTCTCCTGTCCCTGCTTCTGCGTCTGTATCCTTCCTTTTACATTTGAGTTTAGCCAGTGGAGGTCCTTGTTCATCCATCCAACAATCCTCCTGCTACCCTTGCTTGACTTCTTGCTCCTTGGAATGGACCATTGTTGATCTTGCAGAACTAATCTCTGAAAATCAGCCAGCTCTCATGGATCCTTCTTCTCTCCAGACTGATACTGTATTGGATTCTTCTAAGGAAATCCCTGAAAAAGGCCTGTTTGCTCCCCAAAAATCCAGGGTTGTGATACTGCTTTTTCCCTCTGTCCCACCTCTCAAGATCCTGAACTCCCACCATCTCAAGGTTGCTGTAGACAAGGCTGCCACTGACCTTTACACCTGTGACCATTCTTTGTAATTATGTGGTCCAGCAATGTGTGTCCCCTTATAAGCCTGCTAGTTGCCTATAGCAAGACATTCTCATCAAAGCATTCCAGAAACTTTCTGGATTGCTTGTGCCCTCCTGTGTTGTCATCCCTCCAGTATATACTGGAGTGATTCAAGTCCCTTATGAAGACAAGAGCCTGCAAACATGAATCTTCTTCCAGTTCCTGAGAGGACTTAATTCTTCCTTCTGGTCAGAAAGGATCAGCAAGCAGCCCCTGTCATCCACATTGGTCTACCTGCACAGATGCTTTCATCTGGATCATTGCCCATCCCAAGGCAGACCTCTATCCATCCATTTAGACTACTCTTTCACATAAAGGGCAACTTTTTGACATCACAGCCTGTACTTCCTGAAGAGCCTGTATGACATGGCAGCACTCCAGTCATGTGAGGTATCACATCTTTCTCCATGATCCTAACGAGCCCTGCAACTACAGACAGATTTCTAATTCCTGCTGTCATCTTCTGTGGGGACATGCTGTGTGCATTTGAGCAGCAACTTCAGATGGACACTTAGTTGTGCCTGTTTCCCAGGAAGAATCGTAAGGCTCCTTCTAATAATGTCTTGTCAGCACTCCCTTATTTATGTGCATATGCTTGAGGTTGTCCTCCCTGAGCTTTGTATTCATCACAAGGTCTTCCTGGGCACACCAACCTGTGCCCTTTTCTTGTCAGCCCTGGCCACAGCTCTCTCACTTTTTAGTTGGTCAGCATCTCTCTCCCCCACCATTCCTGTCTTAAAGCTCCCCTCACCAAGTTGGCCTGTCTGTTCCTAAAAGTGCTTAATCCTGTGAATTTATTTGTGTTGCCCCAATTGGTGCCGAATAATTCCTGGTAAGATTGAGTATCATTTCCTCCTTCCTGTGTAGAAATGAAATAAAAGAAGGTTCCCTTTGTTGATCTACAGTGTATAAATAGTACCTTTTAGACAAAGAGGTTAAAAGCACCTGTAACATAGAAATGCAAGTAACATCGAACTTCAGATTAAATACAGTGGTTGTGTATTTCTGTGTATCAAGAATTTTTCAGATTGAAACTTTTGTTTATGTAACCTTTTACTCAAAAGAAAAAAAAAAGAGGAATTTAGGGCACGTGTATGAAGAAATGAAGTTTGATTTTTAAAATATGGAATAATGGAACTGTGGCTAGGTTTCCTTATATTTAAAAATCCTTGAACTTAACATGGGCAAACATGTTAACGTGTTCTGACTGTGCTGCAGTTGGGTGGCTGCAAGGTTGGGCTTCCCCCCAGATCTCCTCTCTTTTAGAGTATGACGCAAATCCTGATAAAGTCAACAAGAAAGACTCCAATCGACCTTAATACACTTTGTGGGCAGACCATTAGAGAATACTTAATACTGTACATTCTCAGGTGACAGACACAGATAACTGTGTTCATGTTTGCATACAAATTAAACAGTAGTAATATAGCAGAGTGGTCTTGGCAACAGCTACTGCCATAATTTCTAACAGTATCTGAGGATTCAATATTATTCCAGGTTTTTCCCTTCCAGAACAAAATGAAGATCTGGAGAACCGGTATAAAATTAATATAATCTGTGTTTCAACTGCCATGCGAAGATGTGGTTTTTTTCTACTATTTACTCACAGTCAGGGAAATAAGCCAAGTGCTTGTTTCGAAGTCTGTCATAGAGTTTCATAAAGTTCTAATGTATCATTATGTCCCTATTTCCCCTGATGTGCTAGTGAACAGAATTAAGTTAGTACATATGAAGTACCCACCGCAGTTTTGCTTTGGTTTTGTTAAATAGAGTCCTAAATGCACCTCTACTGTTGTTAAGGTTAACCTCTCATTTAGAACAGTAGGACTTAAATAAAATACTGTTAATTAAGCCATGTCCTTAAGTGTTCTCCTGCATTGGCCCGTTAACAGGCTTTTTTGAACAGTGCTGTTTTAACCACAGTAAATTGACTGAGTAGGCTGTTGTGGTACATGTAATTTCAATTTTATAGACAAAAATATGATTATTCAGATGTACTTTTAATGAATAATCAACATATGAAGTAGTGGCTCAGGTCTTAAGAAATATTTTTTTGAAAGTTCCCTTAAAACGGTTTCTTTGTCCAGTGTCTCAGGACCAAGGAAGTTAAAAAAACTTACCTTTTTGTACACTAATCTTTGCTTGGATGTCTCCAGCAGTATTATAAAAATGTAATGATAATCGTTGTTGTTAATGGTAATTCTAAGTGCAGAGATGCTGGTCACCAATGAAAATCTTCAAAGAAATAAGGAAGTAAATTTGTTGAAGTGCTAAGCTTATATATAAGCATATATTTCAGTACCTGTATGTAATACTAGTTGAAATGTGCTTGTGAATTAAACAGGAAATTAAGTAGAAAATATATAAAGAGATATTAATGGAGTCTTCTAACATGTGTTACAGAAAATATTCCAGGTTTTTAATCATTGTTTACAATAAGTAAGAGTTACTGATCTTCAGTTCTGCCTTAATTTATAAGATTATCATCAGTAGAACAAAATTCTCAAGCAGACTGATTATATTAGATCTATCCTATGGTTGCATTACAACATATTTCCTATTATTGTGTTTATAGAACTTTTATTGTTATGTTTTATAATGCACCCCAAAGTTTACTTACTTTGCTTTATGGCTTTCTCAGTATGCTGCACCTTCTGACAAAAAGCAATTTATCAGCAGACATACTTTATGTGTCTAGGGAATAGAGGCATTTCAGAAGAGACTTGCTTTGCAGATACTTTTCAAGTTAAAACTTGTGTCTTTTCTTGATTGAAACAAACTTTTGACAGTCCATGTGTTCTAAATATTTTACATTTTGACACCCACCACTAAAGAGTTAACTGAATATTGGTCAGAAAGTATTGATGCAGTAGCAAAAATCAATTTATTGAAAAGCAGTTAGACCAGTAGAGGAAAATTGAAAGGCATTCCATTTGGAAACTTAACTGTTTTGTAGATATTTCAAAAAAGTATATAATAAATAAATGTAACTTCTAGTGTTTATAAGGCAAGTGGCAGAAAAATAAATGAAAATAGAAAACTCATTATCTACAATGAAATTATTTGAATACAGTTGTTTAATGCAGGTCTTAATTTCTCTGTATTGCTTATTTTGCGCAGGAAGGAGTTACAGGAGCTGCAGAATCTTTACAGTCAAAACACTGAGCATACAGCACAGCAGGCGGAGCTGATAAAGCAACTTCAGGCTCTCAATAATGGTACACAAAAAGTACTGAAAGACCAAGAAGATGCTCATATAGCTGAAACAACATCCTATCAAAAAGTAATGTCATTCTGCTTTATGATCACGGCATTCAATTTAACGTCCATCTGTACAATAGCAATGGACAGAGTAATCGAACTACTGTGTTGTCTTGCATCCTTTAGATCTCTGGATCTTGATTGTTGCCAAAATGTGGTTGGCAAAGTAACAGAGCTTATCAGACTAATTACATCCCAACATATATATGTCCCTTGCTTACATTGAATTGATGAGCCTTAAAACTTAAGGTTTGATTGTGTCTTAGGAGTGATTGCAAAGCATATAAATTTCTTCATGTAATTTCGTGTTACCTGTGTTTTAATTCTTCATCTCCTGGGGCTTTCAATTGCTAAATTCTCCAATTTGTTTTTGATAATTTAGGCTAAGAAACTCCTTTCAATTGTAAATAATGTATTTGTGTGAATCTCAAACAATTTTACTCCATTAAGATGCAAAAAACCTGCTCTATCAAAATTAACTGGAAAAATTGTTGCCATAATAACTTTTGAAAAGGATAATTACTTTTTTTTTATTTTTTTATACTATATTTACATTTACAGAACAGATTCACATTTTTGATGCATGCCAGGAAAAATGCTAACCCTGAAGAGCTGTCACATATATGTGCATTACTCAGAACTTCTCCTTTGAGTGTAAAAAATTATGGGGATGTGTTTTTCAGTCTGTAAGAAATACAGAAGATAAGTTTCCTTCCTTTTTAGAAACACTGAGAAGGAGGAAGACAAGAAAAAAGTTGTATATACATCTTTAACTTACCTTCTACCAATCTTGGAACTGTTAGTGCTTTTTAAGGTGTTTCCATTTATCATCTTACTTAAGAGTATACAGGTAGTGAAAAAATTGTGAAGCTAGGCCTAAATTAAGCCAGAATCATTACTGGGTTTCTAAAGATGTGTTTAGTTAACATTTTATAGTACATAGTGCCCAGCACATTCTTGTGTACTTAACTCTGCGTAAGTTTATCACTGACTGCAGCGACAGAGGACATTGTCTATGTTCACTACAGTAGTAGTCCAGCCAAGCTACAGGTAGACTTCCTTCTTTTTGTAAAATATCAAAATATCTAATACACCTGGAAAAAAAGGTCTTGGTCTTATTTTTTTGTTTTTAATAAAATTAGCTAAAAAAAAGTAGATATATTTATTAAAGAAAAGTTATATATGTAAAAAAAGAAGTCCTGTGCTAGATTTAATGAGTGGAATAAATCTAATAATGTTTGTGGCAAATTAAGAGAACTTTGGAGGGAAGAAGCAGTCTCTTTATCATAACAATCCTGTCCTATACTTATGATCAGAAGAACTGTATAAAATACCCAACTGTAGTTGCTTGAAAGTAACATGAATTTTTCAAATCACAAGATACAAAAGCCTACTGAGGTCACAGCAGACCTTTGGGAAACTCAGATCTGTAAAAATAATACAAATGCCTATTTTTCCTTTGAATGAGAAAGACAAGCTATTGCAGACAAACGTCTAGGTTTTTTTAATCTTCTATGCATTAATAATATGCAGGCTGCAATAGCTAGATAAGGATGTGTCAGCTATTCCATAAACATATTCACAAAGGAATATTTTCCTACTGTTCCATATGGCATTGAGCCTATCAGTATGTACATCCTATGATATATTGTCCCTTACAGCAATATCAATGACCTCTCTCTTAGTGGTCAGATAGACACTATATGCTATAGCTGAGGCAATGCAGTTGGTTTACATATTTGACGACTATCTTACCCTCTGCCTTTAAGGAGAGCTGCTATTTGTGTTGATGTTAATTTGTAATGCAAAACAGTTGACTGAATAGAAGAAAAAACATTTTTGATGAACCAGATCAGGGTCATGAACTTGCACTGAATTATGCGTAAATCCATTGAGGGACACCATTTCTCTTCCAAGTCAAGCTGTAGTGGGAAGTATACACGTGAAGATCTGTAGTCTGTTTTATCAAATTGTGTTGATTTGACATGCTACTACCCTTTTTTTTTCTTTAAGTAGAAATGTTAAGGGTGCTGTGTTCTACAATAACTCCTTTATGTTAGAGCATTTATGGAAACAATTTGGTGTCTGTTTTATATTGCAGCTGTAGTTCTCATTCTCAAGGATAAAGAGTATTTTTCTAAAATGTATAGCATCTGTTTTAGTGGTCCCAAATGCTCCAGGGACTTCATTCCTGTGCTGGGTTTAATGAGACTCAATAGATTTGTCCTCACCAACAATTTCAAGGTGGAGAGACTTCAATCAATACTAGGGATAATAAGACAAGAAGAGATTCTGACCTCCTTAGCCAGCTTATCACAGTTTTTTAAATTTACAATTTAGGGCCTTTGTTTTTATAATGCAGTACTTTCCGTTCATCTGATGTGGCCATTTTGGTTCTTGTTAATGATACTGATGAAAAATCTCTTAGTGGAAGGCCGTTTAAGTGAAGTGAAAATACTGTTATTTATCATTAAGTAGGAAACCGTAATTTGTGTCCTAGAAGTCAGCTCTCAAAGAGAGAATATTGTGGATAGTGAGTGGTACAATCCGTGTCTGTGATAAAGAAAAGCACTGCTCAATAATTAGATTTTTGGCATAATTACAAAACATAGCAAGAGTGCTCAACTGTGAGGCATTGCAGAAGTCTGCATCAAGTACACCAGAAAGCAGACAAAAATAGGATCATGTCAGATACGTTTTCAGATATTGTGGTTAATTTTGTACCTGCAGTTGCCTTTGCTAGTCCTTCTTTTGGTCAGTATGCGGAGATAGTTTGCTTTCCTTCAAGCTTGAGAATGTCAAGTTACTAGCTTTACCATTCTAAGGTTAAATTTTATCACTTCCAGTCTTTTTTGCAACTGCAACAACCTTTAAACATAGTTTAAAATTACATTAAATGTGTTTGGGTTTATGTAAGGAGCATTACATTCACAAAATAAAAGCTACAACCGTATAGATGTGTAAATGGTAATAACAATGCAGGTTCTCCATCAAATTGAAATGAAAAACATAAGTTCTTTCACACATGAAAAGAGCTGAAACTTAACTGTTCAGTCAGATATCCTTAAGCCCACGTCAGTAATAAAAAATCATCATTTTCATAATCCACTTTATCCCTGAAAGCTGTGTGAAATTCAGATCTTTAACAAAGTGACCAACAGGTTGAAGGAGGTGATCCTGCCCCTCTACTCTGCTCTCATGAGACCTCACTTGAGAGTATTGTGTACAGTTCTGGTGTCCTGAGCGTAAAAAGGACATGGAACTGTTGGAACAAGTCCAGAGAAGGGCCACGAGGATGATCAGGGGACTGGAGCACCTCCTGTATGAAGATGGGCTGAGAAAGTTGGTGCTGTTCAGCCTGGAGAAGAGAAGGCTGTGTGGAGACCTCATAGCAGCCTTCCAGTATCTGAAGGGGGCCTATAGGGATGCTGGGGAGGGACTCTTCATTAGGGACTGTAGTGACAGGACAAGGGGTAACGAGTTAAACAGGGTTAAGTTTAGATTGGATACAAGGAGGAAGTTCTTTACTGTGAGGGTGGTGAGGCACTGGAATGGGTTGCCCAGGGAAATTGTGAATGCTCCATCTCTGGGGGTGTTCAAGGCCAGGCTGAACGAAGCCTTGGGTGAGATGGTTTAGTGTGAAGCATCCCTGCTCATGGAACTAGATGATCTTCATGCCCTTTCCAACCCTAGCTATTCTATGATTCTATGAAAGTGAAGTATGTTAAGTACGTTAGTCTATTTATTTCCCATACGAAACACCAGCAGAGTTGGTCATATGCTGGCAAGTAGATTTCTGCACCGCATGTGCTTATAGGTTAAAGTTGAAGAAATGCTGGATAGACTCTGGTGCTGTCAGAGTGATATTTAACACTGCACTCACAGGTAATGATTTTCATGCTTGAAAAACCCTGTACTTGGTAGCCTGTGGTTGATATCTACAGGAGGCTTAAGTGTCTGGGGAAAAAAAAAGTAAATAATCTATATTACTGTCTGTCACTGATGCTTGGAAACTTGATGCTTAATGTTGCTGGCAACAGTAATATATTTTTTTACAAGATCATAGAATCATCAAACCGTTTGGGTTGGAAAGGACATTAAAGATCACCTATTTCTAGCCCCACTGCAATGGGTAGGAGCACTTTCCACTAGAGGAGGTTGCTCAAAGCCCCATCCAACCTGGCCTTGAGCACTGCGAGGGATGGGGCAGCCACAACTTCTCTGGGCAACCTGTGCCAATGTCTTGCCACTCTTCACAGTAAGAATTTCTTTCTAATATTTAATTTAAATCTCCCCTCTTTTAGTTTAAAGCCATTATGATACCTTTTGCAGTATGAATTACTCACATTTTTCTGCATTAACTAGGACTGGTGTTCTTTACAAGCCTGATGAATATTCTCTGACAGTATGCTATATATAGAGAGAAGAAATCTAAATGGGGTTTGGTGGCATTTCACAGAGTTGTTGCTGATAAATACAATCTTTCTGAGAGAAAAGTGTCAAAATGTTTATATATTCAAAAAAGCAATCCACAAACCCCACTGTTAGATAAGCATATCAACACAGAAGTTGCATAAAAGTGGTTAGATGGATGGATATTGGAAGGCTACATTAGGGGTGGGTGGGGGAATCTGTCAGGAAACAGGAAATACAGGATTTACTGAAGTAAATGCACTCATCAGTTTCAATTTTTGTGGAAAAAACACTAATTAAAATGACTGAAATGTCCTTTTCTTTTACATTATCTTCTGTCATTTTTTCAAAGGTATATTGCTACAGTTATCCATTTTACATGGTTTCCAAAACAGTGGTGGTATTTACAGTTCTATAATGCCACAAGGTATAGGAAAACACATCTTGTCTTTTAGGTTGTACTTGTGACTTCTGCTTGCATGTTTCCTCATGTTACTTAACATTCATTCTGTATTTTCTTTTAGTTTGGTTTTGTTTTGGTTTTTTTCTTAGTCTCACGTGTCTAACATTTTTCTCATGTATCACAGGTAAGCCTTGTGGCATCTCATCTTGAAAAATCACCTTTCCATTTTAAAGTTAAATGCCATGAATGTGCTATATACAATCTGTCTGGAGTGCCTCTTCAGTTTCATCCTAGAGTTTCTCCAGCTTATTGTTCCTTTCGATTTCTTATAAACAGCATGAGCATATAACATGAATTTCTGCAATGGTGCTGTAATAGTTTTTCTTACAGTTTTATTGTGTCTTAATTTAGACTAACTTTTTTGCAGTTGTGTCATTATTATATGTCCAGTATTATGATATGTTTGGTTCATTTATTCACATCTCTGTAATACACTTTTTTAGGGTGTTAACATTTAGGTAAAACATTTAATATAGGGGAATATTTGTTTTGCACCCAGTGTATGTAACTGGCTACTGTTCCATTTCAATGGATGTATCTGTCTTACTGTTAGTTCCTTAGAGGAGCATACTATTACAGGAAATACCTTGGATGTCCCCACTTTCTGTTCTTTAGTTAATGCCATAGAAAGGTCTATGAAAGCTTTAACTAAATGACTTTAAGATTATGGAACTGGAAATTATTTTGGAACTGGAGAGTGTGTCCCAGCTGTTAGCTGGCATTCAGTACACAGGAGCAGTCTAAACCTAGTTTGAAATAAATCCTGCACACTTGTACAAAGTTACTGCCGGTCATTTGTGTCAGCTGTTTCACTTTGCAGGTTTTTTCACGTTGCACTATGCTTTTGGCTATACATTAGATAGCATGGGTTAATGATTTACTAGGTTTTGTTGGAATTCCTCAGCTTTCTTCAGTCTGAGCTTTGCCGTACACATATTTACTGTATGTCAGTACTTTACCTGACCCCGCCATTATCAGGCTGTTAAATATTTTCTGTCACGTGTGAGCCGGCATTTCAGTCACATCTTTTGGTTTTCCACAAGTCCTAGCTTTGGTCTGGAATTTTTAGGTTACTTGATGACATTAAGGACACTTATTGATCTAATGGATTTTTCTGTTTTAAGTAACTCTTCAGGGATCTAGCAGAAAGTATTTTCTGGTAAAATCAGTTAAATCAATATAGAAAATTGTTAGGGTAGCTGAGAAATATGGGATACGTTATATTTTGTAAATCATCTAAGTTACTTACTCTTCCCTCCTGTTAAGTAATGCTCTTGTGTTATAGAGACTGAATTTATTACAGTGTACTGATTTCAGATACTTTTAATCATTTTTTTATTTGCTTTTAAGTACCTTCACCTGTAACATTCTGTGTTGCCTGTCAGAGAAAGGACAACTCTAACGCATTAGAAGAGGATTCTCAAAATACAGTCAGTGCAACACTTTTTGCGAAGCAGGAAGCAGGCTTGTGTCTCTGGCCACTGCCTTTTTTTTTTTTTAAATGAATTTCATGAAATGTATTAAGAATGATTTTAAATATCTTCATTATTTTTTCCCCATCTAGTAAACTTTTTTTTTTTCATTTTTAATATCTCCTCTTGGGAATTTGACAGTTTCCTGGGTAAATCTTACGTCTTACTGACTCACGTGAGGTATAACCATTCACTTACGTAAAGTCATGATTTCACTCTTCTGTGAAGTTTGCTAGTTCTGAGTTAAATAATTCACAATATTTTCGTCTTTCTTTGTTTTTTTCTACTCAGTGTTCCATCTCTAGTCCTCTGGTATCCGTTTTACATCTTGCATCCCTACACCTGACTTTCTATATCTGTTTCATCATGTTGTGTAATTCTGTATTCTAGATTGTGTACTATAGTGTGATTGAACGTGGTGCATCTTCTAAAACAGGGTCAGAAATAAGCAGAAACCACAAAAATGGTCCAGTATAAACATTAAGCATGAATTTGACCTACATGGATGGCCATAAAGGAAAAGATAGGGAGCCAAAAGGAAATTTGGAGGCTAGTCTGGGTATGTGTACACAGTAGATAAAACTGTTTCTGTTCATGCAGGTGATTTTCATTTTGAAATTTCCTGATGTTACATACATTAAAAATAAATCTGTGTCCTATAAATTAATACATTGATGTTGTCTGTAAAAACAAACAAAACCTGAGTGTAAAAAGATGAATAGTGCGAGCGTGGATTTTTTGCACATAGCTTTTAGTTTGTTTTGTTTGTGAAATATATATGTTTAGTTATTGCTGTTTTCAAAGCAGGAAAGGTTGGAAAAGTTTATGCAAGTAAAAAGACATGCTATTTGTCTTGTCTTGACAAATGCTGACTAACAAAAATACCCATTAACTACATTAGGGGATGTAGCTGCCAGCTAGAAAAAAACATGATATTTTTGATGTTCTCCATTCATCTTACTAGGATGTTACCTTTCAGATACTATAATTACAACCACTTAACTGCTGCTAGTCATAAAACCACCAAATTGTCATACCAGTATGATCTAGCTAATGAGCTTATATAGTTATAGCTGGAAGTAACTGTGTCTTGATGTTCCATTCATTTGGAAGGACATTATCTAAAAATGCATGTTTTTGATAAATGAACTGTTTGTTTTCCTGTGAGATACTTAGTGATTTCCATAAGAAATTGGCTGATCTGGAACTTGCATTTCTGGGCATTATGTAAGCTTACTTAAATATAATTAAGAAAGATTCAGTAGGCACAGAAATTTCAACGCAAAGTTTAATATTTAAGGGTCAAAGTATTTCAAAATATCAATCTATCTGGACTTTGAATTCATTTTGCCTAAAATACATGATCTCTGATCTGCTTTGAAAATAGACAAGAAGTGATTTACATTCTCCTAAGTGGCTTTTGAGAACCCATCGGAGTAGATAGTAATAGGAAGAGGGAAGGGAAGAGAGGTTATTATTTCCAAATTTCTCACAAAGTGTGAGGTAGAGAGTTTCCAAATTTAAAAGCAGTGGTAGTTTTTCAAAGGGTTTAACTTCTAAACGATGTAAGCAGGTGAAAGGGAGAAAGAAATGTATCATTTAAGTAAAGCTGACAAGACAAAAGGAGAATTACTTTTGTCTGTTCTTTCTACTTACAAACATTATTAATAGATTTGGAAATTCTGATTTTCATATTTACTAGGTTTCTTTCGGATGGAATGACAGAAATGGATTTTCCAAAGGAAACTCTCATGCCTTCTGCACATTATTTTATGGTAGAATAAATAGTTTGAGGGAACAACAGAAAAAAAGACCATGGAAAGAATGAAGGTCTGAAATGAAGACAGAGAAGAAAATATGCTTAGGTGGTAGAGCTGCAGAGTCATGTATTTCTTTCAGAATCTGTACTATTGTTTCTTATACTGCAGATTTATTTTTCAAACTGGGTTGTTTTGTGATTTGGGGCTTTTTTAAGTAAAAGCTGGTTTTGTTTTAAACAGTTTTCAGATGTTTATATTGAAAAAAGGGTAAAAAGGGAAAAATCAGGTGGTTCTTTTATTCTTGCAAAGTAAGTTCTATTTGCTACTTAGATGTGGTTCTAGAAAAACTCTGTATGTACTAAAAGCAATTCTAGAATATATGCAATATTCTGGTTTCAGCAAGAACAGTTTAGCAACAGCCAGGGATGAGAAGTTCTAATATAATCACTAGGGTTTATAGTTAATGTAAAAAAAAAAAGAATCCCACAATAATTATTTAAACAACTGGTTTACACTTTACATGAAATGCAGTAGGCATTAGTGGATTCACGGTATTACTATCCAAGCTATATTAAAAGGGTTAGTTTTATAGGATCAAACTACTCGATAAAGGACAAGATGGGTATTTGCTATTCTTGCTTCTTTAATTTCATTGTTTCAATTGTTTGCCTATTATCAGTAAGGGATTTTTTATTTATTTTCTATTTTCTATAAACTGTTCAAGAAGTAAAATAAATCCTGATCGTTAGGTGACCATTTCTATTCAAAATTGCCATAAAGAAGCAACTGAAACTGTAATATTCTAATGTAAGTTTTGTTTTTCTGGAAAAACTTCTTTAAAATTAAAGTTTCAGTGTGTTCAAATCGATGGATCATGACAGGAGGCAGGAGGACAAGAAGTGTAAAAAAACTGTCGGTAGAAAAAAGAGGGTGATATTTGTGTATAAGTTACTTAAATTATACTTCTTCGTCTCCTGTATTTGTTTGGCTATCTTCATTGTAGTTATTCTTAATCCTTTTAATCTCTTCTCCCCTCTCATAGCTTTATAATGAATTGGCTTCATGTTTTGAAACTGTTAAAGCAAGTGAAGTTCAACTGCAGCGAAACTGTGCCTCTCTTCAGGATCAGTTACTTGGAAAAGATGAAAAGATTTGTCAGTTACAAGAGCAACTTCAGCAGGCTCATGCTTCTTTAAATGCAATATATAAGAATCCTCCAAAATGTGAAGTACATGTGAGTCCACTTCTAGAATATTAACAGTTGTTTTTTAAATTTAGCTTCTCTATCAGTTTTAAAGGGTTTTTCAGTTAGTTTGGTTTTATTTGGTTGGTTTTTTTCTTCCTTTTTTTTTTCTTTTAAGAAAAATCTTTCAACTCTGCTGCTGTAGTAGTAACTAATTCTCCTGTTGCTACTAGGAGATACATCACTGTTAAATCTGTCCTGGGAAGAAAACTGAGTGATGGTGTCAGTATTTAACAAAGCTTTTACATTTTCTACTAAAGACACCAAAAGTAAAAATAAAACCAAAGTGATTATTTTCCTGGAAACACTATTTTTTTAGAAAAAATAGGGGATTTCTGCATTTCCTCTGTGAAAATGAAATGTACTGGTCCTGATTTGTTTTATCATCACTGAAGAAAGTATTACAGTGGAGAGGAATATTGTCTAAACGTTTCTAAGCTTTAATGGGCCATTTGGAACTGTTGTAATAAATCTGTCACTCTCACTAATAGGCATCCAACTTTACAAATGTGCCAGATCTTACATGTATACCCTTGACATTTTTCAAAGGCCAATTTACAACATGAAATTGAAAGACTTCGAAATGATCTACCCACAATGGTTTGGTAAACTGTTGCTTAGTTTCTTTCATAGGTTTGTCAATTTGTTGTAGTTCTGTGTTTCAATTTTACTAGTACTTTCCCTGGATTAAGCAGAGAAAGGAAAATAGTTGATGTTGCTCATTATGTGCAAAAGTTTACTTACTGTGGGTGGGTAAGGTAGATCTGTAGTCAGGGATTATATTCATGAGCCCAAAGGAACTTGAATATTAAAAACTCCATAGTGTTTTAATTCCTCAAAGTTTTGTAAGTAGTAATCTGCTGTAAAATGGAAAAATAACAGAATGTAGTATCTCCTGAATATGTTCATGATGGGCATCTCAATGTTCTAACTTTATCCAGAGTATTACTTAAGTGTTTATCCTAAGAATTTTAACCCATATTTATATGATTTGTTTCTCTTATGCAATGATTTGATAATTTTTTTTCATAAATGGTAAAGTACATTTTATATGTCTTTGTTGTGGAGTGTTTACCTCTTGATACATTCTTGACCATTTTCTGAATCTTAGAAAAATTTTTTTCTTTTAGAAGATTTTGGTGGATTTCTTGAAACAATATAAATATATAATTAGCCTGAAGCTGTTTCTGCTCTAAACACAGCATTAGAATACGTTTTTTTAATGCTCAGGCTATTTCTGAATATATTATTCTGCTTTCATCATCTTGTATTCTTCTGAAGTTTTTTGTAGTTTATATTGTAACAGTTTTGTTGTGTTGTTTGTTGGTTTTTTTTTAAATCATAAAAGCTTTTATTAAATCTCTGGATTATCTTTCCTGAGGTTAAGAAGGCCTTTGTTGTCTTTATGAATGTCAAAATGCTTTCCTCTATGTACAACATCTATATAGTCTACCTTTGGTATTATTTGACAGTCACAGTGTATGCCATATGGACCTGGTGTAAATATTTCTCACTAGCTTTTGTCATTGTTCTGAATAGCTTAGTAGTATCAGAAACTTTTGTTACTATACTAGTCTCCTACCTTTGCATATTTTTTGAACATGGGGTAGCACAGATACTCAAAGTAAGTAAAAATTAAGTTTTTACTGCTATTACTTATTTCTCATAACAAAAGCAATTTTTTGGTTGGTTTTTTTTTTCACCTCTTAAAATACAGCAGCTGGGTTTCTTTGAGAGCTCCTAATGAGCTTTGCTGAAATCCATTTCAAATCCAGGTTTCGCTGAGATCAATTTTATTTAGTTCATAGAAGAACTTAATAGATTCATCAAATAGTTTGGGTTGGAAGGGACCTTAAAGCTCATCTATTTCCAAGTCCCCTGCCATTGGCAGGACCATCTTTCACTAGACCATGTTGCGCAAAGCCTAGCTCAACCTGGCCTTGAGCACTGCCAGCGATGTGACATCCACAAAAAAACTTTAGGTAACCTTTGAAGTTAAAAGTAAGACTATTTTAGAAGGTAGTGACAGTCTACAATTGGTGATTCAGCTTTATACTTGATTTTCTTTGGGTGTTTTGAAAGAATGGCCTACAGTGTGGATGAATTGTTACTATTCTCTCTCTATTCTCTATTATCTCCCTATTTTCTATTCTGCTCTCGTGACACCACATTTGAAGTACTGTGTACAGTTCTGGTGTCCTCAACGTAAGAAGGATATGCAGCTGTTGGAGCAAGTCCAGAGGACGCCATGAAGATAATCAGGGGACTGGAGCACCTCCCATACAAAGACAGGCTGATAAAATTGGTACTGTTCGGCCCGGAGAAGAGAAAGCTACATGGAGACCTCATAGCAGCTTTCCAGTATCTGAAGGGGGCCTATAAGGGTGCTGTGGAGGGACTCGTCATTAGGGACTGTAGTGATAATACAAGGGGTGACAGGTTCAAACTTAAACATGGGAAATTCAGGTTAGATATAGGGAAGAAGTTCTTTACTGTGAGGGTGCTGAGGCAGTGGAATAGCTTGCCTAAAGATGTGGTAAATGCCCCATCCCTGGCAGTGTTGAAGGCCAAGTTGGACAGAATGTTGGGCGACATGGTCTAGGGTGATGTGTCCCTGCCCATGGCAGGGGGGCTGGAACTAGGCGATCTTACGGCCCTTTACTACCCAAACCATTCTATTATTCTACAATTTCTTTTGTTGATTTAGTCTGTGTCTCCTTCTGGTGGTGCCTGAACTTGAAGTACATTAAACAGTATACTCCATGTAAATTAGGATCCAAATGTGAAGCAGTCCTAAATTACTTATTGGTGAACATGAGTGCAAATAATTATCTTCCTGTGGTCTTCTGTTGGCTTTCTGCAGTTTCCATTTTTATCCGATCTCAGCATTTTAGACACTCCGATACTCTCCCTGCTCCTAGTATGTTTGAAGGTGTGTACTGGTCATGGTTATTCAGCGAGGTTTTTCTGTTTTGTTAGTGACTGTGAGTTGAGTCTGACCTTCTGCAGAAATTTATTAGTTGAACACTTGTGTTGTCTGTCATAAGCTCAGTCAGATATTTACCAATGCCAGTGGAGAAAATATGGTAGGAAGCAAAAGCAGACAACTTATGATAATGAATGTGATTTAAAAAACTGAATGCAGAGTATGAACCTTCATTTTTTAGGTAAATTAATCTTAAATCAGGCTGTGGTGGGACAAGTGATTAGCATTACTGAAGCAGTCTCACAGGGAAGGAAATGCGTATAGGTAGCATTCATAGTTACTAGGTTTGTAGGAGAACCAAGATGTTAAACATTATGCACTTTGTGCTTAACATGCTTAATATTTTCTCTTGCCTAACCTTCTATTCTATGATAGCAAATATCTCAAGGTCTGTTAAAATGGAGTCTTGCTTTGGCTGAAAGGCCAGAGAATGTGTCATAAGTTTGCTCATTGTTGGCTGCATATTGATGACAGCCAAGTTTCCCATTGCCAACTTTACAATCTTACATATATGTTAAAAAGGTAATGATTATTGTGTGGTTACACAACTTTGGTTTCTGCAGGGGAATTACCTATTAATTACTTCTGTGACTTGTTAGGTAACTAGAATCCTGATCATTTGTGAAGAAAACCTTCTCACTCAGCTGTCTCTTGATTGCAGCATCAACAGAACAAAATGGGTTTGGAATAGAGGCTTAAGTAACAGGACAACAAAATAATCCCCTAGTTTTCTATTTTTTAAAATGACTCTTCCTAAAAAAAAAAGAAATAAAAAGGTTTGTTAATTGCATTGTATTTCTGCTGTAAAATACTGATTTCTTGACCATGTTCAGATTTGTACCTTGCTGAAATTTCATCATGTAGGACGTACTAACAGTCTGTTGACAGCATTAATATATCTTCTTCAGGCTTTCAAATAGCCTGGAAGGTTATACATCAGTTGTATACATTAGTGCTTCCTGGATTTAAACTTTTCTTGCTGATGAAATTACATTGTAATCAGGAAAAAAATTAGTTTTATATTATTTACTTTATTAGCAGTATATTTCAGTTTTTTTACATTAAGCGTAAAATACGCCTCTCTAATGTTGTCATCTTACTGTAGTCAGCGTGGCACTTGTGTCAGTGAGGGCAAACTTCTGGTTAATTTTATTTTGAGTATTCTGGTTATGTGATGAAGAATTTGAATCCGCTTTACAGTAGATTTATATTTACAGCTTAGTATGTGTGCATTCAGCAGCTCTCACATGCATTTTTTCTGATCAGACTTTAGGCATCTTAGAACTTTGAAGTCTTTTTAGTTAGATCTATGCTTTCACTACACACTAAAAAAGAACAGAACAAAACCATGTTAAATATTTTTCAAAACATAAGCTTTTGGGGTTTGATTAATTTCATCTCATGTAATTGTTTTTTGGTTCTGTTTCATTATTGGTGTTCATTTTTAGCTCTGAGATGTATACCATACATTTAGTCCTACAGTTATTATACCATAACTATTACCCATGTGAATAGTAAATATTTAAATATGTTTACTGAACCAAAGCAGTCATTTCTGTTTTGACTCCTACTTTTCATACATGTGCAAACATCAAAGACAGTATTAAGAGATGATGCTTGATCAAAGAACATTAATTAACAGACGTTTAAATCTTTTTTTGTTACTTCAGCGTCTGACAGGTATGTGCATTCTACGTAATACAGAGTTCACTGGCATTTTTATAATAGTATCTTAATTTCTCATTATGAAGTTTTTAAAAGTAGTTAGATGAGAAAATACCAGGAAAACTATCAGAGTAGAAATTGCACACAGATGTAACCCAAGCTTATTAGGAAAAAAAAGAGCTGAATTTTACCTAAGATAAAAAAATGAGTTGAGAAATGTTTATATGAGTAATGCATAAATAAAATGTTTCCTGAACCATTGTGCAAAAATCCTTCAAGTCTTATCAGAGTGTGACTTACTGGTTTTCTAACATCAGTATTTCAGTGATTTCAGTTTATT